GACCAAAACCCCAAAACCCCAAAACCCCAAAACCCCAAAACCCCAAAACCCCGAGTTCCTTGATTAGAATAATTTTCGCAAATTTATTATTAGAGCAAATAAGACTTAATAATTAGATTATTACTCAAGGAACTATAAGTTCAACAGCTATAAGAGCCCCTAAAAATTAAAGTAGTTTACTGGCAATGAATAATCAGCATTCAGACTAAGACTAAGAAATAACTGATCTATCAATTGAATATAAAGATTACATAGAAGACTATAATCTGCTTGATGAGTATTTATGCCTTGAAATAAAGAAATGTGGTCCAATCGACTACACTTATCATAAAATGATGTTGCCAACAAGTCCAGATTAAGATAGTTGTAAGCAAAACAGCACCTAATCAAGGTTTGAATCGACTTGGATTGGCCAAATATTGTTAAAATTTGACAAAACAGTGCTCACTCTAGTGATAGTTAGTTATATGAATCTTGGATTCTTGACCTTGATGATTTTATCAGCTAAAGACTATTTCAAAGAATTTTTAGGGGTAACTCCATCATAACTTTAAACTGCCACATCTATTATGTATCTACCTTGGGGTTTCAAAGTGATTTACGGAGTAATATCAGATGCTTTTCCACTCTTCGGGTACAAAAGAAAATCATATCTAATTATTAATGGCTTCATCGGCTTTATCTCTATTTTAATGATAGTTCCAGGAATATATGAAGAATACGTTTTTGTAACTATGTTATTAACTTTTGCAATGGTTGCATCAGCATCAACAGATATTCTTGTGGATTCTTTATTGGCATCTGAAGCAAAGAAAGATAAGTTAAATGGAAGTGAAAATCTTCAGTTCATAGCTAATACTTTTTCAGGAATAGGTGGAGTGTTAGGTGCCATACTCGGAGCCATTTTTACTTAATATACTCATCCAAAATATGGATTCTTAATATATTCCTGTCTTGGGTTATCTCTTTTCCTTGCATCTCTAAATCTGAAAGAAAAAAGAATCTCAAATAACAGTGAAGAATAAACAACGCTTGAGAATTCCTATAAGTAACTACTTGAAGCAGTAAAAAATAAGAAAATATAAAAAGTTATTCTTTTTCAGATAATATCAGGGGCAATAGTCCCTAGATTCTCCCAGTACAAATACTTTTTCATGCTTGATTATCAAGGAATGAGTTAATTCAACTTTGGACTCTTAAGCATACTATGCTCATGTACACTCATTTTACTTGCTCTTTTCTTCAGTAAAATGGTACAGAAATATTCTTATCGCTAAGCCTTTGCATTTGGAATACTCTTGACATCATTTACAACTGCTTGTGATATTATCTATGTTCTCAGAATAAATAGAATGCTTTACATCAATGATTACATCATGCTAATATTTACAAATTTATTAGAGGATATAATGCAAACAAGATATTTATTTTATTGTAGTGGAGTTGTGCATAATCGCCTTGCTCCATCAAAAGTAGAAGCAACAATAATGGCTCTTTTTGCTGGTTTCAGCAATATTGGATTTGGAGTAATAGCCCAGTTTTTTGGAAATTTCTGTGCTGAAATTATTGGAGTTAATAATGAGAATATTTAGGATATTTACAAACTACTGATAATCAAACTTGTCTTTTCATTCGTCCCATTAACTTTTTTGAGACTCATTCCTAACAAAGATGAAATTGAAAATGATGTTGATCTATAAAGATTGAACAAAAATGATGACAACAAAGAGCAGCTTCTAATTTGAGGGGCATGCCCAGATTTTCTAAAAAATAATTCTTAAATGTTTAAGAAATAAAGTAGAGATATTAAATTTCCTAATTTTCTCTATTCTTTTCAATTATTTTTATCTTTTCACTCGGGGTTTTGGGGTTTTGGGG